CCCCAAAACCCCAAAACCCCAAAACCCCAAAACCCCGAGTTATGCATGACATGTTGAGAATAGAAGAGCTTTATTTAAGTGCCTTTGCCATATTTCTAAATTGAAATTTCAGCAAAAGTATCAAAATTTTCGGCTTCAGCCTTTTTAAACCTTTTGGAGCATGAGCCTGAGCTTTGGACTACTGTGCTCATACCTCAAGTAACTTCCTCCTCTTTTAAAGTAGATCATTCTTTTGATTTTGAAGAGTTATCAGGTTTTGATTTTGCAGGTTTAGCTGTTTTTCTTCGCTTACGAGAACTAGGAGGAGGCTTTATATTTCCTGATTTTCAATATTTATTTTCCTCCTTTGGCTCAAAACCAACAGGTATTTTAGATTTACTTTTAGATTTCTTATTTACAGGAGTTTTTATAAGCTTGTAAAAGAGTATATACGCTTTCTCTGAGCTAGTCTGATTTTGACTACCTATTTTCTTGATTTTTGAATCATCACATCTATACCAGATCTGGTCAAATCCTCTAACGTATCAGTTGTAATGGCCTCAATGGCTATAGTAGCCCTCATGGTTAATTACAGCATAGAGTTCGTACATATTTCCTGTCTTACTCCTCGATCCTTTTCCTGTTGATTTGATATAATCTCCCAAATTGAAGCTATAAGGGTACTCGATTTTGGCCTTGATCTTAGCTCCATTGATATCAAATTTCTTCAGGTTAACGATGAGGTTAAGAGGAGGGTCTTTCAAGGATAAAGACTTAACAGCGTTGGTATATTGATTACACTTCCTTCAATCATACTTGTTATCCCCTTCTAATTTTTCAGATGAAAAATAGAATTTCATGCTATCTTCAAATGTGCTTTTGATGTCCTATAGGTTCATATAATTAGATGGATTGGTCTAAGTAGGTTTTCTGACAAGTAATTGCTGTTGAAAGTTCCTCCAATTATATAAACCCCGTTATGAAAATTATTTTTGATAATTTCTGAGCAATTCGGAGTTGGCAGGTTTTACATACCAGATTGATGTCTTGAAACCTCTGCTCATTCTTGTTGTTCTTCCTACATTTCTTACATTGAATGTTGCTTGTAAAAGTTCCTTCAAAAATTTGATTTAATTCAATCATCTTGGATTTATTAACCTTATATTGCTGCTTAATTTCTGTTACCGCTTTATTTGTAACACTCTGAATCTTCAAGAGTGTGGAGTAGGATCATAAGGAATTCATGGGCATCTTGTTGCCTACCAATTCTTACCTCTTCACCGAATACTTTCTTAATAATATCCTTCATGCCAAGAGGAAGGAAGTTATTGGACTCACTGTTCTCCATCTCTTCCATCATTTCCTGAATCCCTCAGAAGGAGCATCAATATGTTGGAAGGTCATCATTGTAGTCAAAGTTGTTGAACTCTGGTTGTTTTATACATTCTTCAGAATATTCGCTTTCACCTTCAGATTCATCCTCGCCTTCGCCTTCACTTTCTCCTGTCTTAATAGTAGACAACAACTGATACATCTCTGGTGTGTGAAGGATACATTGCATAACTGAGTTCGCAAAACAAGTGTTACCGATGTTGAATAAGCCAGTGGGAACCTTCAATGGCAAACTAGGAGGTGAATTCTTCTTCATTTATAATATAAATATTCTATAGTTTAAAATTCTTATGGGGTTTTGGGGTTTTGGGGTTTTGGGGTTTTGGGG